CCCCCCCCCCCCCCCCCACCCTTGTCTCCGAAAAACCCTACTGAAACACCCACCGATCTTAACCTAAACCCCAAGCCTACCAAATCAAACACAACGCAATCACACGAAGCACCCATCGTCTGAGCAGCTACCGGAACAAACTCCAGCCAAATCGGGTGCTCGCCACGCAATTCGTGCATCGCATGCTTAAGTAATTACTAAAATCCGGCTTAGTTCTGCGGTCGCCGCTGGGAGGCACTCTCGTTTCTCTGCTAATGCTACTTCGCGGCATCGCTTACCGGCAGCCGCAAGCGAAGGCTGGGCAACGTTGCCCTACAGGAAGGGTAGAGGGGAATGTGGCTGGGGATGATGAATAATGGGTGCCGAGATACCGCTCTAGAAGCAGGGAGTGAGGATAGGGAGTAATGTTCCCTATTCAAGTACAAATATTTCAAATTCAGCCCAAAGCTATGCGTGGTACTCATGTAAGGGCGTATGAAAGTTTCTGCAGGAAAGTTACTAACTCGACAACCAGAAAAGCTGGAAGGCTGAAATTTCCCCCGTCCACGTGCAATTTAAAAATTTCAAATTCAGCTTTCCAGGTACATGGAGTACCCATGTGTGGGCATATGAAAGTTTTGGCGGGGGAATTGCTAACTCGGTAACCAGAAAAGCTGGAAGGCAGAAATCTGGGGGGATGTCCCCTGTCCAAGTACAACTCAAATATTCCAAATTCAGCTTCAAGCTATGCGTGATTCTTACGTGCGGGCACTGAAAATTTTTGGCGGAAAAATTTCTCACTGAACAGCTAGGTTACTTTTAAAGAACGACCGTGAAACGGAAATTGTACATTTACTTTATGCAAGATTTATGGTGATTTACGCCAGTGACTGCAAAAGGTAGGTGTAAAGCAACAACCACTGATGCAGTTAATCTCCTGTGTAATTCCGGTGCAAAAACGCATGATAGCACGGGCCCGCCCGGTGCGTTCCAGCCTGGGTTTGTACTTTCACTAATAAAGCTATATTTACTGATCTGGGCGAGTGTTCCCCACAGCAGCACCTCCCGTCTGGCCACCTTCCGCTCGTTACAGTTCTCCCCCTCGCATTCTGTTTACTCGCCGCTCCTCCCTCCCAAGTCGCCGAAGAGCATTTGTTCTGAAAGGAACTTTTTTACAAAAAAAAAAGCCTGCAAAAAAACAACTTCAAGCACCAGTACATCATGTTTAAAGTGAAGTTAGCTTTGCTGGAGAAAAAGATTGATCTAAGCTAAAAAAGTTCGTATCATAGCATCGTTTCGCATGACATCTGAATTTATAGCTTCAGAGAAACAAAAAAAAAGTATGTATACAGAGTCAACCTAAAACAGGCAGCTCCATTTCGGTTACAATGGAATTATTGAATACGACGACGACGACAACGATGACGACCATGCTTTATTCCCTGAAGTTCACAACCAGTTGTCCCTGTTTTGGATCATCCAGTCGATCCATGGTCTGTATTGACTGCAACATTAAGAAACCAAATAAAAGTATGCTTGCGAACACAACAGCTACAATGATGCCCATCCATGAGCCGGCGCTGAACGTTCCAACACAGTCCGAGACATAATATCCAAATTCCGCCTTAC